TTTCCAGCCAATAATCTACTAAATGAGAACATTGGAGGGAAATCATAGTAAAATCAAAAGGTTTTTTGTTTTATCTTGTAGAAGACGGTCCAGCATCATGGGTTTTTTTTAGAAGCAAATCTGCTTCTGGCTCCTATAATTCTGGTCTCTGCAAACTGTTGATACAGCCTTCTTCTCCTGTATGTTTTTTTTTTTTTTTTTTTTTTTTCTCGTAACAAACTGGGCTCATTAAGCTCGGTTTATATGTAGATGATAAAACACTGATCCTTGAATGAACAAAGAAAACAACAAAGGAAGGCGGTTGAAGCACTGAAAAAGAACAAGAAAGGCTGTTTAATCTTCTCGGTGGGATTTGATTCTGACCGTTGCAGACCTTTTTATCCTCTTAGGCTATCGCTCTCTTTTCCTTGCATAAAATATATTGTTTTATAAAGCACAATAAATCACCACTCTGCCCTCTGATAAAACAAACCCATGGGCCCAGTGGGATTTGGGGCCAGGAAAGATTAGCTGGAGGATCTCCTTCCTGGCCTTAGTAACCAGATGATGACTTGATTATAATATAATGTGTGTATCTCAGATGAACAGAAAGGTTGACTGATTTTTCCATCCCTGAACTGCTTGGTGCTGGTTGGCCAGCCTGCAGCCTGCCTGTCTGCCAACTCTAACTGTATTTCTTCACGAGTTATTGACTTTGTGTGCGTCTCATTTTTTCCTGACTCCCTGATTTTCTGATTTTTACTCTCTTGTATTCCTGCCCGTTTCTCTGCAGCATTGCTACAGTGATCAAGAAATTAAGCTTCTGAAAAGCTATTTTTTGTTTCCAGTACTGAGAAAAACTGACAACATTCACAGGAGGAGCTGTGAGATGACAGTTTTCATAACATCTTTTCTTCTGTAGAGACATCCAGTTTTTAGCTGTTTGGTTCAGTCTATGATTAGTGATGATCCTGTTATATTATCTCCAGAATAATAATTATTATTTTCAGTTTTTTTTTTAATAATGTAACTGACAGAACTACAGGCAGTATTAGCATAGCAGATCGTTTTAAGTTTATCCTTCCTTTCCCAAACGTTGGAAGCATCGTCTTGCTGTGGATGAAAACATTCTGTCAGCTTGTTGATCAACATTTATGCTGCTATAGTTTAGGAAATTAAAAAGGATTCAAACTTTCCTGTAAACCAAAGGGGTCCAGCAAGAAAAGCTTTGGAAACCACCGACCATCCTGAAACTTCCACCATGTTGAACAAAACGTGTCATCAGACCTGAGCACCTTCTTGCAGGTTTGCTGTGTTTGTCCTCAAACAGACTTCTTCTACCTTTTGAGAAACAGACCAGCTGGATGGACAACAAAACTAAAACTTTTTTATTTCCGAATCTAATATTATTGTGACAAATTTTATTTAGAGAATTTATTTTTCATTCTTGTTTATTTAATTTTATATCTTTTACTTTTTGTCTTTGTTATCCTTTCTGTGCTTCCTTGTGTTCTTTCTCTCTTTTCCCCACCTGTTTTTCTCACTTTTTTCCTCCATCTTTTCCTCCTTTCATGTTGTTGCCGTGTCCTTTCCTGTCTCCTTCATCCTTCCCACTCATGCATCCCCCCTTCCTCCCTTGTGGTCTAACGTCCGTCCTCAATTTCTCCTTCCTGCTTCCTTCTGATGAACTTTATCACTTTATGTGTTGAAATGAACATAAAGGGCTGAGAGCTGTGGAAAGTTGAGTCTGGTTAGTCCTGGAATCGTTTCATGGAAAAAGAGGAAGGAACACTGAAAGCAGATTCTGTTCATATCATCTCATTTCCTTATATTTCTGTTACACATTTAGAGACCTGTAACCTTGAGGTTGTAAAGAATGTTCTGTTCCAGATTGCAGAATGAGTGAATAGATTATTTTGACCTTTGTATTTTTTTTTGATTTTTTTTTAATTTTTCATTTTTTTTAAATATTTTGTCTTCCTGACGAGAGGACGTTCTATTCTTCTTCTTTTTATAGTGTTGTTAAGGTTTTATGTTCTTTTCAACACTAACTAGAGAAAGAAAATGTTTACAGTAGCAGGCCTACTGTGCTCTCAGCTGCAGAGAGCTCTTGACAAACTGTTTTGTTTGAAACCGACTTAACAAGAGGTCAGTTAAGCTCTGCAGTCACGGCTCTGTGATTCCTCACCACAATGCTGTTGTAACACTCCAGTTAGTCTTTCATCTCGAGTTAGCTTTTAGGTTTGCAGACATGGGCTGAGCTTCCTCTCAAATCAATCAGCATCTGGGCCGATTCTCTTTTCACCGAATCTTTCCCTTTTTTTCAAAGTCAAACAGCTCAGAAGTTTGTTTTTTTAGTGCATACATCTGCACTGGATCCATGCAATGAGTTGTATTAAAATTGAATGTGATAAACAAGTCCAATGCACATATTTTTAATCGTTGGTGTGTTTCCACAAAGGTAAACGTGTAAATTAAAGGTAAAGGTGCTTCATAGAAACGCATGTCAAACCTTTCAGATTCCTATAATCTTTTTTACCACCCACCTCCTAGTCAGGCCTTACTTTAATGATCTGCTGTAGAAAATCCAAGTAGACTACATCTATATACTACTATGAGGCAATTTGGATAGTGTGGAAAAGTCCACGGTTCCTATTTTAGTCCACATCTTGGAGCTAATGGAGGGTTCATATCTCCACTTACTCCCTGCTGTTCATGCTGGAATAGAAAAAACCTAATAGTTAGTGTTGTTCATTGGAAATCAAAGATCAAACCAAAGATCTCTTTAGGGATCTCTTCTACCAATAATATATTGGTAGCTCTTTATTGAGCTTTAATTTATTTGCTACTTCTGCTCTCAGTTTTAAGTGTCTACTAATAATGTTGGGTTTTATAGACCTGTCAGATGGTGTTTTTTTTAGTTGGCATTAGCTGATTTTTTTCTACTAGACTCTCAGTGGGCTGATGGTTGTCTCCTTAAATGTTTTATTTTTTCTTCTTTCTTTTGTTTTACTTGTGTGAGTTTATTATTATATTATTGGCTGCCTGTTGCGTGTCAGAACTGATGTTTTCCACAATAGTAAATCTAATTAGGCCAGTTCCTCTGTCTGGATATACAGTTATAATCTTCATTCTGCAAAGATTTGGGAATGGAATGAGAGCGGTGTCCTTCAGCTAGTACGAAGTGTAATATTTTGATATGGCTGGAGCCATGGATGTTTACTCATCTGCTAACGTGAATGATGTAAAATAATGTTTTGATGATGTGGCAGACTGGAGATGCATAAAATGCCTTTTTAACTGTTAATCGGGGCCACTTCCTGAGAGATGAGCAGCTGCCTTCTGTGAACTCTAAGCAATTTCTCTGATCTGAATAAGATCGCAATTTCTATCAGAATCTGTTGTCATGTTTCCTGGTTATTTAATACATATAAGTTATGAGATGTTTTTTAAAGAGTTTTTCCTGGGTGATTTCTTTTTAGGGAAAAGAACCAAGAGATGGAGCTTTAAGGTACATACATAGAGCCTAAATATAACATACCCATACACATATATTGGGATTTCTTGTAAGAAAAACTAAGCGTAGTGAACTGACATACGACTTTGTATTGAAATTTGGGCTGCAACTAATGATTGTTTAGCAAATCGATTAATTTGTCTATAATTTTTTGTGATAAATCGATTAATAATTAGATAACAAAAGGTTCCTTAAAGAAGACTTTTAATTAAACTAAATCTTGTGAAACTAAAACCTTTCTACTTGTGGACTTCTGCATAGAACATATTGATGGACAAAAAAGATTAGAAAGTTTATATATTTTTTAAAATTCTGGTATGATTACTGCTCTAAGTGCGATTTTATGTCAGCAAAAGGCATATTATAGAGTCTCTATACTCCAGTTAAAGATTAAGCGATTATTAAATTAGTTGATGGTTAATTGAATAATCAATTAATCTGGTTAATAGTTTCAGCTCTAAATAAACTTCCTGAATGTGCAAACGTGTCATACCTGACCTTTTGGGTTGTGACATAGAGCCTTCTGCCTTTAGACGTCTGGTATCCATAATAGATCCTCATACCTGCTTATGGGAAGTTTCATACTCAACAACCGGTGTTTTAAAGTGTTTTGTTTGAGTTTTCTAATGCTTACTTATATTTCCAATCATTGAAACTGGAAACAGCGACAGTTTATGGTGTATTCTCATAAGTTACTTACATTTTTAGGTTATGTAACAGGCAGCAAATGAGGGGCACCATTCATGCAAAGACCGATTTATAGTTTTCCAAAATTACTGTCCGGATGTGTTTTTGCAACAGGCTTTGAGAACAAGTGTTTCCATGGTGACCGGAGGAGAGGTGGCAAAGGTCAACTGTCCTGCAACTGGCAGGCTCTGACGTGACGGGTCTCTAAGTCAGCGCCAACAGGCAGAACACAGCAGGGGGACTTTATTTAGTTGACAGCAGTGGAGAAAAAGTGCTTCCTTGCTTTACTTACAGCTGCCTTAAATCAGGTCAAGGATCTGTCTGAGTGACGAGGAAGGGGTGTGTAGCGTTTGAAGCTGGGTGATGTGCTGAAGCCTTAGAGAGGCAGAGACAGACAGGGAATGAAGAGGGATGCTTAAAGAAGAGCTGTACTGTTTTTCTTCAGCAGACAGTGACGTGCCTTTCTTGCAGAACTGTAAAGGACTCGGTTTCTACTACTTTGTTGGGTTTTCCTATAGTGTTTGAGATCCATAATGTTTTTTTTTTCTTATGTTGATTTGTTTAAGGTAATCTTTAATTTGTAGTACAAAACTTTGCATGTGCAATACCAGAAAATGTGACCCTAAACCAAGTCTAAACTCTTTGAAAAGCATAAATTGTCATTTAATGGTATAAAAAAGGCTTTAAAAGATGTAAGAGGTCCAGCTTAACATAAGAAATTTTAAAATAAGACTGTTGGCCATTTGGGTAAAAATAAAATCTTGGCCATTGTACGTATGGTTATATTAACATGGTTTCTTCCACTTCTTCTTCTCAGGTGGACGTCGCCGCTCAGAGCCTGACGAGGCTGAGCTGCTGAGGGTCAGCAGGAGATTGGTGGAGGATGCTGTCAGCCGGGCCTTGCAACAATATAAACAGGAAACACTTCAAAACGGGGGCGGGCCCAACGCCGCCGCGGTCCAGCCGCCTGGAAATACAGCGGAGACGAAGACGGACACTACAGCTAACTCCTCCACGGACAACCGGAAGTGACAGCTTTGAACAGACACACAGACTTTCAACAACCAAACGGCCCAGAAAGCATCAGTCGGCCTGGCTGAGGAGGGGGAGGAGTCAATAAGACCTGCGCTCAACAGCACACCCCCCCACCTGCGCTAGCTGGGCAAAGTGCTGAATAATTAGTTATTATAGCTTCACTTCTGTGCTTGGTAACACCTAATTCTCCGTTATCCAGACCTGGACGTATGTCCTGGAAATATATGAAGCGTTCTTCTAAACATGTGCTTCACTATGAGCTGCCGAAACACACACTGCCCATTCAGAGTAGAGGTGGTTATATTTTGTAGAAGAGCTTGGTTAGCCTTCAGCTGCACTTAACATGAGCTCAGTAATGTCCTTAAAATCAGCTGCAGGTGCGGACCTTTGTTTGAATGCTCTTCTCCTCGATGAATCATCTGCTCATCACTGTGTGGCCTGAGCTGCTCTGACTCACCGAGGCGGATTCTTCCACCTTGATTCCTGGTTCAGAGTGTTGGACTTTTGTCCTTAAAAGCTTTTGTTAACCGGATGTTCGTCTTCAGGACATGGATTTCCTTTAACCTTCCAGCATTTTATCTCTTTTTTTTTTTTTTCAGATGTCTGCCTCCAGCAGGTCAAGTGTTGCATTAGCTACGCGTCCCTCTCTGAGACAATCAAACGCCGCCACTCCTGATCGCAGGTTTTAAAGCCGGGCTGGACTCCAGCGTTCGACCCACAAACATCCTTCTTCCACGCAGTGCTTTAGAATAACAGATTACTACCAATAACACTAACTCCACAGAGTCCAGGAGGGATGGAGGCGGATTGAATGCTAGAAAATAATACAATGACTTGTTGCCAAGAACACATCGTACTTGATTGATGCCAAAACTGACACCATTGTATTGTTTTCCTCTCTATTGTCTGTTTTTTTTTTTGAAAGTGTGAAATGACTTTTAAAGACCCGAAGCAGATTATTTATTTAATGTCTGCCATTTAAAACCTGAGGCAAACTGTCGGTCAGAGACACGCTGGAGTCTGGCTGTTTGAGGCTCCTTGTTTTTCTGTTTTTGAATCCGGATGTGCTGTTAGACAAAAGCTCGTAGTTTCCTTCCTTTAAGAAGTTTTTTATTTTATTTTCTTGCGTTGTTTGTGGCAGTTTGTTTAACTAATTCATGCCATTGAAAAATAAATACTTAGTTGGACGAAATCAAAGGAGATTGGATTTTCCAGAAGGCTTGATGAGGTTATAAATAGTGAAGGATGATACAAAGATAAACAGATTAATTTATATTTGCCTCAGTACTGAAGCTGAATCTGTTCTCTGATTGTGAAACATGATGTTCAAAGTATATATCTATTTAAGTTAATTAGCTAACAGTGTGATTTGATTTTTGAAATCCTTAAAAGCACAAATTTTTCTTTTAGCTGTTTTTGATTGCAGATTTGATGAGGAACTATATGCTGTTAGATTCACCTCACCTTTGCTCAAAGTGGCCTTCTGTCACTGAAGCAACTTTTTTGTGATTATAGTTTTGTCACTTGGCGTGGTAATCTGTAGGAGACATTTTTAACCGGGGTGAAGAGATCTCCTAACTGTCAACCTTTGGGTAAAGATTTTGTAGTAAAATGAAAAGAAAAAACATTTGTGCTATTTTTAAGTTTTTTCTCTTCTGATGCGGACGGCTTTGAGCTGTAAAACCAACCGTCACTGTGGGCAGCAGCTAACCTAGTCTTATTGTGGACTTTTTAAGGCTTTTTTGTTGTTGGTTTTGATCTTTTGCTGTCACCGGATCCTTAAATCTCCACGATAAATCCCCTTTAATACACAAGTCGTCCGGTTGGCCTCTCTGACCGTTCATCTGTCTGTGAGTTTGCGAGTGTAACTGTGTGTTTTTCGCTCAGATTGTTTCCACAGGGTGTTTGATCAGCGGATTTCCTCAGAAACTCCTCTCTATATCTATCATGACAGCATTTGGTGGTGTGTGAGCAACGAATGAGCCTTTTGTTTGTCTTTCCATGTATCCACATGTATGTTGGGTCATGTGAGCGTGTGCTCTTTGTACCGTGTGTGGTGTATTTTGTTCTGCCATGTCCGAACAATAAATCAGGATATGAGATTTAAAACCAATATCCATCTCTGTGTCTCCTTGGTCTAGATAAGCGCCAGATTACTGATCTGCTTATATCTACACTGTAGCCTATAACTAAGTATGTATCTGATGTTTATTAGCGATTTTTTTCTAAACTGGTCAATTTAACACTTAGTTTTAGTTGCAGATTTATCAAATTTAAAACTTTTAAAGTTATAGGGAAGTCATATTTAAATGTGAAATCATTCTGGCTTAAACATGTATATAAATGTCCTCTTTATCAGACTATATTGTCCCAAAAGTTAGAAAATTTCAATTTTCAAAAAAAATCCTGTTTTTTTTCTTCATTGTTTTTATGCAGGCCAGTTAATTATACGGCAGCTTGTACATACTTCAATTCGGCCAATCATATATCAACAGTAATCTGTCAATCAAATTTTTTCGGTCATAGCATCTTGATTCATATCGCAGCTAATATACGCAACGGTTGAAATAGGAATGATTTACTTTACCATTTAGTTCTGTCCCAGTGTTCACGGGGATGGACGTCTGTGTCTTCGGCAGGCGTAGAGCTAACAGAACTGGCAGCTTTGCGAGGCAAGGGCTCAAACATGTACGGCTGTAAGTCTTTTACATCAAACCAAGCCTCTGCCGCCCCTTGTGTCCTCTTTCACAACATCTTCGTCCCTGATTTCCTCCTCTAAAAAGAAAATGTATGACGGAGGAGACTCATCCACGACCTCCGACACAAAGCTCTCCTCCTCTTGCAAGTTTCTGCTGTCCATAGCGTTCCTTGACAGTGTCGTTTCTAGTCACCAATTTAGTGCTACTTGGTCACAATGTAATTTCCCATTGGGAACCTACTAGCACTAAGCTGCTTACTGGTTAGCAGGATGCTTCCGACAAACAGGCCACAACCAAACTTGCTTACGAACCTTCCGCCATAACAATCCCAACTGTATCATAGTTTACATTAACATAGAGCTTTGTAAAACGTTTGTCCCAATTGGTATGTTGCAATTAGATAAATGAACCATTTGAAATTTCTCTGTTCGGATCTAAACAAGACAGCTGAACCTTTGGGGCCATCAGGTTTGCCATTACTGATGAAAGGTGCTCTCCTTGATTCTCTTTTGAGAACCCTGAAAATATTCAGTATTATTAAGGTGTCATAAAACATTGTAATGGTTTAGGCCTCAAGTACTCCCTACATGTGATGGGTGATTGGAAACAAGGCTATTTATGAGTGAAAAATGCACTTTGTATGTCTGATGTTTATTAATCAGGGATTTTGTTTTCAAACTGTAAAAATTTAACATTCCTGGTTCATTTAATGGCTTCATTTATATGCAGTTTTAAGCATCACAGCCAAGTAGTCCAAGCCTCATTTTGGAGCTTAAAGTATGCTAATTTTAACCTGCATTTCCAGTTTGAGTACACCCACACCAGAGCTGATTGAGTTGCTTGAGTAAAGCTAAAGAGACGTGGGACTACAGCGAAAACAGAAATGGTTTGATTAAAAAAAAAATTACTATCTTTTATCTGATGTAGATTTATCTCAATATAGGCAATAATTGGAGCCTGGAAGCTATATTAGGATTTTGATTTTATGAATTCCGTTTAAATGTTAGTCCTCATCAGCTGATGGGAAAGCAACAAACAAACAAATGTAAAAAGCTTCAAGTGCATTTATCATTTTTTAAAATGTAATTTTTTTTCCATTTTTTTTTTTTTTTTTTTTTTTAAAAAAAAAAAAAAAAAAAAAAAAAAAAAAAAAAAAAAAAAAAAATCTGTATAAAGGATTGATAGACAGAAATTGAGCACAAGGCTTCAAGTATGAAGCCATAAGTTCTAGAAGAGTGATGTTATGTTAGAGCACCAAAGTTGGGCATCAATGGATAACTCAATAACAGCAGATGAAGAACATAGAAAATAGGCAAGTCTCCACCTAGAATAAGATAAAATAAGGTAGGTATTTATCTGCTCATTCTAAAAAAAGTCAGCTCAACCTAACAAACCACGAACCACCCAGTTCATGTATGATTTTTTTCCCCTCTTTTTGTTAAATATATGCCCACTCCGGTTGTAGTTTTAATGAAATATTACCTCATCCTGTTGGTGCACTATTTGTTATTTTAGGTTTTACGTTTTGTGTTTGTTAGTGCATGTTTATTTTTTTTTTATAATAGAGGTATCATACTGCTCATGTGCACAGGTGGTAAACAAAGAAGTAATACGGCTAATCCAGTTAGCACCTTCAAGCAGAGTTGTGAAATAATGAAGAAAAGTCCCCAGTCTAATAATAAAAACCCAGAAAACACACATTTTTTTGTTTGGTAGGAACAGGAATTTTCTTTCTCCTTGATTTTCTGACAGGAGGCTCTGAGGAGGGTTCATTAAAACTTCAGATTGGTTGATTAAATTTTTCATTGGTAGGTCTCTGACTACGGTGAGCTGCTGCTTTAAAAAGGCCCAAAATCCACAATCTACGCAGTAAAATGAGCATGTTCATGTAACACTTCAAGAGTCTATTTCAACACTGAGCCAGGTTACATATGTACCGTGTAAAACTTACACTGATCCCAGTGTCAGAATTTCTGAGTTGGTTTTACTCTAGTAGGAGTGGAATTTATTTATAGAGTAAAATAAAAAATGATTCTGACAATTGTTAACTTAGTTTAACACTAGTTAAAAAATCAACAATAAGTGGAGTAAACTTAACTCTAAAATTCTGACACCGGGATCAGTGTAAGTTTAACACTGTACAAGGCAGGACCATATGTATATTGGTGCAGTGTTGAAATTGACTCTTGGTTTTAAAGTACCGGGTACAATTATTTATTGATTGTTTATTATTTTTTTCAAGCAAAAACTTAAATAAGAATTTTGAGTAAAACAACCCTCAATATATCCATGTCTTATCAATTTAGTAATTTCAGCACATCAACAAAATGCCAATAAAAAGCTGGTATAGAATAAAAACAAAAAGATTTGGATTTTTCTCCTTGGAAAAAAAAAAAGAGGATGATTTTTCATATATAGACCATCTTTTAAATCTAAATACAAACCAACCTTTGAAATATGGTCAGATGAAAACATTCCACATATATTTCGATTTGTGCATAGCTACCAGCTCATCCTTTTTCTGTAAATTCATCAAATCATTTAATAAATTTACAGAAAAAGGACATTTAAAATCTATATATTTATTAAAAAAAAATATAAGCCAAATTGTAAACACAGTTATTTTAACAAGGTTTTTGGACTTATTCCAGATTAAATTCTGAGGGGAAAAAAGTTAAAATTGAGGCACTTACCGTGGTTTTCCAGCACGGAGAAGCAATAAATGGTGCAGAGAAAGTTCTGGACTCTTCGGAGCATGAGAGCGGAGCTTTTCAGACTAATTTTCACCACAACTCCAAAAGAGTGAACTTTTAAACACTTAACAGGTTACACTATTAAGGGTCCTTACCAAACCAATTTCAACTCTAAATATTTTCACCAACACTGCAATACGTAATGAGGCATTTTACACTCACTGTTGTTGGAATGACTCTTAAAGAATTAACAGATTCTGACACCGACACTTTGACTCTCTGAATTTTACTGTGTAGCTACTGATAGTTATGCAGATTTTTTTGGTGCTTTTTATATATCGAGACAATGCCCCTTTAAAAGCATTCAGTGACAGGTGAACTGAACTCTACATATTATATGCCATAGAGGGTAATGAAGGTTTATGATCACAGTGATGGAAGCAGGTAAAAGTCTTTCTTTTTTCATATAATCTGTCATTTACTAGTGAGGATTTAAATATAATACTGTACCTTATATCTGGCTGGTTCACCTGTCAAACTATAAAGTCTCCTTACATCACAAAAATATGATATTTTAGTCAAAATACTGAGGCAAAATCGGAAATCAGCAGCAGTAAAACATTTCTTTTCATTGAGCTCACACACTGAGAAAAAAAAACTAAAAATCATGTGTAAACATGCAGGAGGGCTTTTGCAAAGAGAGCTCATTGATTTTGAATACTATAATCCCCAGACATTTGGTTATGATGGGGGTAAATGTACACTGATTTAAAAAGACTTGTAATCTAGAAGTTGTCCTCCTTTCCCACAATCAGCACCAGCCATTGTGTCACTATGCTGTAATCTTACTCATCTTACCCATCCCTGTTGTGTTCTTATGCTTTAAAGTTGTGCCCCTAGTTGTTCCTTTCCTTGAAGATAATTTTGTGTTTGCTTTAACAATCCTGAGGCACACAGGGTTTTCTCCTCCATTTATTAATTCTTTGGGAGAAGTAAGAGTCTTTTATTCTTTTTTTCTCTTTTTCAACAAGTGGCCACTTATCAAAGCATTGAGTTAAAAAGGTTATTTTTGTGAATAAAATAATTGGTTTTCTGTTTACAGCATTGGACACTTGCACTCTTGTTGCTCTAGACCAAACGTCTTCAAATATTGTAGTGCTTTTTGTTTTGTCTGATTCCTATACTTTTCTGGTGTTCATAAAATAAAAAAGGAGAGGAAAGCAAATACAGATATATTTATGTTTCATATTTTCTAGGTTTTATATTACTAGTTGCATTTCACACCCCTGATGAATCACCAAAATGGCCCTGCCACATTTTGCAGTTAAAAGCAAGCCCATTTTAGACTAGTACACTCACAAAATGCACTCTTTGACCTGCCTGTGCAAACTGAAAACAGAGGAAGGATGGAAATCAAAATGGAAAATATTCTCTCTTTTTAAAATCTGGGTTTGAAATAATAAAGTAAATTTGAAACTGATAATTAATAATTTTCCCAGCAGATCAGTTTTATTCTGGAAAAGACTGAACACTAAATTTCATTCACAGGAATAAGGTTTTAAAAAGAAGCTCTCAGGAAAATCACATTTTTATGTTTTTTTTGTTTTTTTCCATGTTTACAACTGATTCCGAAAAAAAAAAAAAAAAAATTCAATGGACTTTGTTTACAAGTTTGAAAACGTTTCGCTTCCCATCCAGGAAGCTTTTTCGATTCGAAATGTCAGAAATAGCATTAATTTGAGGC